AAACTGTTATTATGCCAAATAAATTATTTTCAAAAAAAAATACGACTTTACATAATATAAACACTATTTCTTGGAAGCCAGCACAGCAACAGTTTAGTATTAAGCAAGCTTGAATTACATATCACTACGAATGTGTGCAAGCGCGAAATTGCAATTTACATTCAATACGTGACTAAAGGCTTAAAAAGATAAGATATATTATAGTTTTAAACACTATCACAGCCTTATTTAAGTATTAAGTAATGTTTTAGTTGGGATTTAAAGATCTTAAGGAGGATGTCGATTTTGACAGATGACGACCCGTACACCAGAAAGGCCGACATCAGCGCTCTGGTGAGAGTTGACAAAAGCTAATAAAAAGGTCTGCGAATTCAAAATTACAATTTGATAAAGCATAATAAACTACTACTTTATAAATCCTTTAAACAATTAATAGTTATAGATTCTAATAGTAAAAATGCATGCTTAAAAAATTTTCGACGTTGTTGATATACAAATAATCAAGATTTCAGCTTAATGTTTTCACATATGTCGATAAAAGGAACATTTTATGCAGACATTTGTATTAAATAAGACATGGATCATAAATAAAGAATAAATGAAAAATTATAAATAACATAATATAATTATATTAAAATTATGCATTATATCTTTTTTTCTCGCAAAAATATGGTTTCTGCATTCACAAAAGTCAGCAAAAGTGGTTCTACAGAAAAAATGTTTTGAAAGTACCTACCTTAATTCCTAAAATTTAAATAAAATAATAGAAAACTTTCCAAACGATGACAAATTTTTAATAATCAATATTTACATCTCAAATCACACAGACTAAAAAAGTGCTATTTTATTTTTTTTAAATACAAATCAATTTTTATAAAACATTTATACATTTAATAGCAGTGAATATATAAATTAAATAGTAAATAATGAGTTTATATTACAAATAAATAAATTAAAATACCTATAATGAATTGAACAATATACAATTTACAATTGATATAAAAATGAAATCAATGCTATTTATAGACAGCTTTATCAATAATTATATAGATTTTTGACTAGATTTTAGGCCGTGTTTTACCAAGCAAACCTCATATGATACGTATAGGAAATATTCACAATATGTTTATAAATATTTTCATACGTAAACGTTGCGTTTTTAATGTTTATCTGATAATATTTATAATAAAGAAATAAAAAATCAAATGTTTAAAACAATTTTTAGTTATTAATTTTGTTTCTTAAATCTATCTAAATTTATGCTAAAGTTTATAATATCCATCGGCAAATCGCTGCTTAAATATAACTATAATATTTATATATATATTTATGTACAAAAAACAAAATATTTACACATTTTTTTAAAACTTTGATAATATCACTCATTTAACTAAAGCCTAAAATTGTCGCAACGCCATGGAAAAAACGGGACACAGGACACTCGTAAAAATTAGTTTATTCGTATCAACAAATAGATGTATTAAAACTATATGTACAAATTAGAACTTTAGTCAACAGAACACAAGGAAGTCCTTATCAAATCACAAACTGTCAATTGGATTGGCTAAACTTGTAGTCTATTCGCAAGTTCTCTTACACCAGCGTCTCCCGCCGACACTAAAAGCTGGTGGTCACCTTATCCGGATAAGGCGACACCAGTTCCACTCATAACGACGAACCGAACTCCGAACTCCTCCGGCGATCGACGTGCTTCAGATAAGTCTCCGAATAGACACTTTTTTTTCTGTCCTCATATGGTCGCAGAGAAGATCTCCTAGTGTCCAAATCATCCAGGTCCACGGGCTGGTTCTTACACAAGCTGCAAAACGCGCACTGCAAGGTGTTCCTAAAGGCTTCTCGAAACTCGCGGTTGAAGTAAGCGTAGATCAAAGGATTCAAAGTGGAGTTGAAGTAACCGATCCAGAATACTATAGCGACTACCACATCCGGGCAATCGCAGTGTTCTCCACACAAGGACGTGCTAAGGTACCAGGAGAAGAATGGAAGCCAACACAATACGAAAGTACCCATGATTATGCTTAAGGTACGTGCAGCTTTATGCTCGCGTTTCATCTTGATTATGTTCTTGTCCTTGGTTGGCGTATTTAAAGGCTCATCGGGAATCTCGTGCAACGTCAAAGTCTTTGATGAGCCTCCCGATGCCGACAGGACATCGCCGTTATGACCACAATCCCTGCTTGGCCGATGCATCAACATGGCTTTACCTTGCCTAGTATGCAACGCTTTTTCTTGTTTATCAGCTTCGCGGAAAATTTGCAAATATGTGAACACCATTATGGTGCAAGGTATCCAGAAAGAAATAGAACTCGATATTACTGCGTACCATTTGTTAACTACAAATACGCATTCATTTGGATGTTCGGCGCGGTATTTCTGGTTCTCCTCGGTCGTGTACCATCCTAGAAAAATTGGCACAAAGGACAAGAGAGCTGGTGCTATCCAGGTGTTCAAAATCATTACCGCCACAACTTTTTTGGTCATGCTTATGGGATATTTCAAAGGCTTGACAATAGCGTAGTATCTATCCACAGATATACAGCACAAATGCAGAATTGAAGCAGTCGAGAAGTAGACATCCAAAGAGTTCCAAACATCACACATAAAATAACCGAATAGCCATCGTCCCGTCAACTGGACACTGAAGTTGAAGGTCATCGCCATCATGGCGACCATGATATCGGCCAGGGCAAGAGACACCACAAAATAATTTGTGATTATCCTTAACTTTCGATGTCTCATCACCGAAACAATCACCAGTAAATTACCGAAAATAGCTGCAATTATAATGAACACCATGATTGATGATTTGGCGATCAGTGCGATCGTGTCGGTCCATTCCTGATCATTGGGATTTGTCGTATTATCCATATTTGGCAATAATTGATTGTTTTGGATTGTTCGTAAAGAATCTGTGTCACTCAATAACGCCATTGGCAATGACAAACTCCAAACTTGTAACTTTTTAAAAATCCTGCACGTCGATTACAGTTTTCTTCTTGGTCTTCTTAAAAAAGGCGAGAACAACTTCGTTGACATACATGTTTATGGACGCTTCTGGACATTAGTAAACTGAAAATAAAAAAAAATTCAAGTTTAGATAGGAAATAAAAGTAAGTAAAGTAATATTCTAACTCTAATATAATTGAGTATATGCACGTGCTAAAAATCTAAATCAAGCTAGTTGTCTTATTCTGAAAAAGTTCAACCTGGTTGTTTGATTCTAATTTCGAATTCCTTGGTTTCAATTATCCAAATATTAATGTAACATTTTGACAGTGAATCCGTGATCTCTAATTGCCCCCTTGGACCCGACTCAATCAACCTGTCAGTCAAATCGGGCTTAAAATAATACCCGCACGATCCCCATAATATATATGCACATAATATATATATATATATATATATATATATATATATATATATATATAAGCATATATATATATTATATCAGTTTCGTAATAAAATTTTTCTATAGTCGCAAAATTCTACCTACAGCTCATAAGTGTCTACAAAAATTTTAATAAAATATTTGGTTCACCGTTAGAGAAATCTTCTAGATGCAGTTACAATATATAATGATAATACTAAAAAGTTTATTTATAAATAGTCTTAAAATAAGCAAAAAGCTTCAGTGTTTCTAATGAAATAGTTTATTGTTGCCAGAGAAAATGTGATTTAAATTTAACATAATAATTTATCATTTCACCTCCTATTAGTTTTCGATCCATTCTTATCAGAAATATTTATACTCTCGTCAAATCTCTCGGTGTAATTTGTAATTAAATTTCGAGTGCTCCAGCAATCTCTTCATTAATAAAATATCATGGAATAATCGGATTTGAAATTAATACGGAACGAACGTTGGAGCGATGGAGCTTTCGATCGATTAATTTATTCTGAAACGAAAAAGCGATCAAGATATACACAGAAAACTCTAATAAACCTCACACGGCTATAAATACACTAAGTATATTTAAATATTTATTTAAAATCAATGAATATTTCACACAAATTAATACAAGACAATATATGTACATTTTTTAATATAACCTTTGAAACTTCTGAAACGTTCAAAATATGCAGTATAAAATAGTTTGCAACTATATTTAAGATTATATAGCCCTACACATCAATATTTTATATACTTAAAAACTATAAGGTAAATTTATTCGTAACTTGTAGATGAGTTTATTTATTATATCCCTTGTAGCTTCTGAATCAACCTATAGCACTTTATAATTGCATTTAAAATAAATATTTGTCCTAAATTTGTGGGCATTTATTCAGAAATAAATATTATTGTTTTTTCATACAAATCTATATAATTAACAAAATTTTACATTTCTGTTAAATAATAATTTATAGTACTATTTTTCACTTACGTCATTTAAAATGATGTAAATTTACAAACTGCGTCATCAGAAGCAATATTTTTTTATGAATCGATTCATAAAATTTTACGATCGAAAATATTGTTAAAAGTTATAAAACGATACGAATTTAATTTATTGTCCATTGTTTTTAAATAATAATAAAAAATAGTGTTTTTATTTGTTAACAAAGTTAAGAAAACGGATGTAATAATTTAAATAAATTAATTAGAACGGAAACATATTTTATTGGCAAGTTTTACAGTTTATATAAATATACACGTATTTATAAACAAATAAACATTTCAAAAATATATTTATATATATAACATTTTTTATATTGAAATGATTCATCAATTTCAGTATTTAAAAGATATTCAGAGAATTAATTTGGCAAATGCAATGTAAATGGTTTTAAAAATTATTGTATTTCGAGGCGAAAGACGGTGCGGTGGAGACGCCTTGTAGAAAAAGCTCGAAAACTTATAAGCTCTGAGCAATTTTATACTATATTGTATAAAAATAAATTAAATCACATAAAATTATATTCAAACATTTATGAAATTATAAAAAAGAAAAAAATATGTTTATTTTTTTAAATAAATTCGGGGTAGTATCTAAAGGCATGAGTTTTTCACTCATGTACCGCACACTTTATGCCAAATTGTTACAATTAGCTTTTATACTAGAAATTTATTACATTAGAAATTTCATTAAAATAATTTTTATAGTAAAACTACTTTTGCAGGGTTAGCTAGTATATACATATGCATGTATATATATATATATTGTTGGCGCCACCAGCCCTGAAATGAAAAATTCTTCGAGTGAGTGGAACGCGAAAACGTCAAGGCGATAATAATATGAATTCCAAACTTCCTTTCTTACAATGATATATAACACATGACACACACACATATATATATATATATATATATATATATATATATATTATATATTACAATTTTAACTCGGATTAATAATCCATGCCTGTTGTCCTCGCGACACTTAAAGGAATGGTTTTATCACCGTCGTGTTTTATCGGCGGCCCCCTAAGCCTCTACTAACTACTACTACTCAACGACAAAGGCTCCTGTGGATTGAATTTATTATTTATTAAATGTTCCGCATTGTCGTATCCTTCTTTATGGCTGGAGGAAATTAGAAAGAATCGTGTCGGGCGAAAAGTTGGCCAGGGGGCACCCGGATGGAAGAGACACAAGAAGGAGTACATAAACATACACGTATATATATATATTGATATATATATATATATAATGAAAATATTATAGACTATTTAATTTTGTAGAAATTTCTCTAACACCTCATCAATACCATAATAGTTACAGTACTCAACGCACCTCAATAAATTGTTGTACTACAAACAGTACAGCGGGCTCATAATACAGAATGTAGAATATAGTTTAATATTTATAAAAGTGATCTCTAATAGTTTTGTTACTGTTTATACCTATGTTTATTCTATATGTTTACATTTCCCCGAACCGTCGCAATTTACATAGGACAATGTTTCGAAAATTTGAGATTCCGAAAATTTAATTACAACGCAGAACAAACAGACGAGAGGATTTATAAACAAAATTTGCATTCTACATTCTACATTTTGGAGTAATTTCTGCCTGAAATATACAACATTTACGTAGGGTAGGGCGGAGCACAAAGGTCCAATTTGACTTTAAGCAATTATATTGTGTAAACTAAACCAATAATATCACAACAAATAACACGTATCAAACATACGACTAGCTGACTATGTTCAGTAAAAATCCCAACTAATTCATTATTGTAAAAATTTGTTTTATTTTTGCTGTTTTTCAAAAGTTTGTAACCTGGTCCTTTTTACCACATGGGCAGGGTAAATTGCGACGGACATTAGGTAAAATTTAAAACAATTGAATAACGTATACCTAAGAAATATTTTGGGGTTTCGTAAACTAAACAACAGAACTCACAACCAAAACAAATAACAAAAGAAAATACTTTTGTTATGAATTTTCAAACATTGCCGTTTACCTAAGGTTTATTTAAAATGATGGCTGATTATACATCTTTTTCCCTCTACTTTCAAATATTGTTATTAAAAAATTCTTAACTTTATTGGTTTTTGAAATATCGGTGGTGGATTTTTTAGGCTCCTTAAAGCCCCGCTCTACCCTATCTATATGAATATACATATCCCCTAGAGTAATTCGGTATACTTCAAAATAGCATTTAAAAACGTGCACTTGATCTGATAATGCATCATTATCGGAAAGCACAATGCATTTTTTCAAACATATATTTTTTTAATTTTATTTTTATTCTGCAATCTATAAAAATAATTACATTTAGCAGAGAATGCTGACAAATTGTTTGAAATTAATTGTCTACAAATTAGTAGATACCCCCAGTGGCGTATCTACTAGAGTTAATATAAAAAAATACAACTAAACCAAATGGGGAGAAAAAAAACTATAAATAAACTATATTATTAGATCTCCAGGTATTTTTCTTTTGAGCCTGGTCGGCAGGCCTTCTTGGTATAAATAAAATGCTAGTTGGTTAGGATGGACGTCAATTCTGTTCTTATAATTAATGGCAACCATTGATTTTGAATGGTAGATATGCCCGTGTCTCTGTGGAAAATCCAAACATATTGTTCATAATAATCGAAAAGTTTAAAAGTCATAAGAGATGCAATCAATAAATGCACAAATTCTCTTGTGATAACTTCCACATATGGTTAGATTAAAAAAACATTTTTGTAAGCAATTTTAAAGTACACCGAGCTGCTGTAGGGTTTATGATGTTAGACAATATTATAAAAAAAAATTTGTATGAATTCACCAAAATTTCATTCCCATCAGACCAACACATCAAAAGTTATATGTCTTATATTAAACAAAAGCAGATAGTAAGTTCGACGCACTATAAATTACACGCAGTCAACATACAACATGTAGCAGTACTTTTTCCATCGACTATGTCATTCCATCAAGTGGCATTAAATGGGATTTTTCTAAATTACCGTCGTTAGAGTAGATATTTAAGTTAAGGGTAGAAGGCGGCGGAGGGCGGTAAAGCGATCAGGAGCATCCGCGATAATCCTTCTCAATTTATGAGCAAAGAGATATAATCTATTTAGAGACTCCACTAGGAATAAATCGCACTAACGACATTGACGGAGTGAAATGAACGTAATGCTAGGTGAGACTTGAGTAAAAATTGGTATATGTGGAGCGAAATGGTGCGTTGGGAAGATTATTCATCAGTAGGTACTAAATACTTGTGACATGTATAAGTTTTAAGTATTTGAAATAACAAAATGACTACAAATGACAGAACGGAGCGTCCGATATTAATAATTCAGAAAACATTTTACTTGTATTGACAAGATGAAGAACTCATTAAATTTTTGGGAAGGCAGTTCCAGCGGTTATAACCTCTCAATAAAGATTTGAAGATATCAATAAAAAATGTCATGTGGCGGTCAAAAATGTTCATTGGACATTTGTATATCAAATTATCAGATATTTTATCATGGCAAGTACTATCAATTCTATCGCCCCATGTGTTCTGGGTCACCCTGTATATAAGCATGTGTGCATTTGTTGCAATATTATGCAGTATGCACTTCCAGAATACTAAGTCACAAAGCGAATGTGACTAAGTGCCGGAAACATTAACAGTTTCAATTGT